ACCTGCCTGTTTGGAGAGGCCATGTTGTGATGACAGCAGCAACATTCTGCACGGCTGGGGGGACGCAGGCAGCTGGTAACTAGTGCAGGACTGCGGGGACTCCTGGATGTCTGTGTGGTTTTGGTTTGTGCTATATTGTCATAGAACTCGTACGCATCGCTGCGGGTTATGGTGGTGGAATGTCGCTGCTCAGCAGCTGCCCAGGCAACGGGAAGCCAGATTCATCCCTTTAGCCATCAAAAGTACAAACTCCATCCACGGGGCACTGCTCCACGTGTCTTCCTCAGCAGCAGTGCCAGCTCAAGGCATTCCCACCAACTCGACTCTAAAGCCATGCAGCGATCTGTGTCTGTTGACCAATTGTGGTTAACAATATATTGGCTGGCCTGTCTGGTCTCTTTTGCTGCACAAAGAGCTTGTGCTGGCCCAGGAGAAGGGTGGTGGTGAAAACGCTCCACTCTGGCTTCACTGGGGAGACACTGGGAAATGGAACTGCTCCGGTACGAACGAGAGGGTGGGGTGTTTTAAGTTTCCTCTTGGGAAGCAGGATGACTACTGGTGGGGAACCCTCCAAGGATTTCTCAGTATTGAGACATGAGCCCTGTTTTGTTCTGCTTGTTTCATTCCCCTTGTATCTTTGGTTGGATCTTCCAACATGCCCATTCTGTGGTAACTTAGAAACGTAACAGTTTCTTCTACCTACTGACCTGTGCCTGGGAATGCAAGACCACAGAGCCTTCCACGGGTCTTATTCCAGTAGGAAGAACTCTGTATTTACAAGGCTGAGCCAAACTTGGCCATGGGAAACTCCAGTACCTTGCTAAGGGCTACAACAGGAAGTTATTCCAGGTAAAACTTTAGTCATTGCCAAGGAGATAAACAAAAAAGGAAAAAAAGAAGCAGCCCAGTCTTGAGTGGATCATAATTTAGGACTGACTGTTTTTAATAAGTACCGTTGCCTAAGACTGCAGAAGTGTGAACAATGTCTTGGTCTGTCCTCCAGGACTCATCCTATGAAAGACCTGGTGGGTCCTGATCCATGCTGACCAGCCTCCCTCAGTTTCTAGCCTTGGCAAATCATGAGCATTACCACACTTGAAACTTTGTGCGTCATTTCATTTATTAGAATAATTTTTCCTCTTCCCTGACACTTTATGTGTTATGTTCTGTATTAATGGTGTAGTAGCGTTTCTCAATAGCACCATAATTTACTAATCCATAGACTGCAGGGATGTGTTTTATATTTCAAGGACTGTGACTGTCCTCCCATCACCCCCCTGAGAAACCCGAGACTGTTGTTCCCCCCACGCTGCCAAGCCAGGCAAAAAGCAGAACCTTCTCCCTGGGTTGCAGAAAATACCTGTCTTCCCTGTTAAGTGACTGATCCTGGACTTGCTTATGCCTTTCATCCATCTGCTGTCAATTTAACTGGCTCCACTAGCTAGTGGCTCCTTCTTATGACCTTGCAAGAATTTGCAAAACCTGGTTTCTATAAAACTTAAGGGTCGATCCCCATGTTTACCCTCTTGCTCAACTAGCCATGCTTTGTTACTACCAGCTAGTGCTAGAATACACCCACAGCTCCCCCCACATCCAACTCAAGCCTGTATCTGGAAAGATCCAATGCCTTGGCCAAGATTTCCAGCTGCAGCAGTTCCCTCAGCAGACCAGTTGCTGCTGTGTGTGTGCAGGAGCCTTGCCTGGGCCGCTGTGCTTCTGGAACCCTGGAGCGTAAGCACAGTGCTGAAGCTCTGCAGCCTGTCAGACCAGGTCTGGCAGGTCCTGGGAGAGCCTTCACAGCCTAGGCACCACGGCTTTGGTCAGAGGGGGTGTCCAAGGCCCATGCTGCTTCTCAATCCTCTGATTTGCACCACTTGGGCAGATCAACACAAGCCTGACTCTTCCCACACTCAGTGGACTTATTCTGAGTATGTTAATCTTGGGGGGTGGGTGGGAGGGGCTGCTGTGCACACGTCTGCCCGGGAGGTCACAGTTAGCCAGCACCTGGCAGGCCAGCAGAGCCCCAGGGAAGCTGTGCAGTACCTGTGTGCACACGTGTGGAGCAGCAGGAACTGTCGGGCAAGGCCTGACGGCAGCATGAGCACGAGGTGCCCCAGGCAGCACACGTCTGTGGCTCACAGGGCATCGCCCCAGAACGGGCACTTCTCTAGGAACACTCTGCCCTCAGTGTCCCCAATGAAGACATTGACTTGCAGCAAAACAGCCTTTTACAGGATGGAACCGTAAGTATTTATTTACCCATGGTGTAATCTGTGTCTTTCATAAGAATGCAGGTATCGGCTGCTCAGTTACAGGATTATGTATGTAAACTTGCACTTCATAAAAAATTTGGAAGTAAAACCTTTGCTTAACAACAATCTTGTTGATCCAGAAGCCTTTCACATTAGAGACGTATCCCACCTGTGCGTTGTTACAATTCAATAAATACTTTACAAAAATAACGCTTGCTTTTTGAAACAAAGTTAAGACATTCTAACTCACCAAAAGTTCCTCCCAGACAGCTTCCTTAAAGACTGGCTTCTTCTGTAGGACACTGCACACTTGGCATGGGATAAACTGGGGAAAAGGGCTGGTTGCAGGCTTTATCATAGGGAACTAAAAATGTGGATTCCACTTTTCCTGTCCTTTAAAAACATAAACTCCTTTCTTCTCTTAAAAGAAAGAAACAAGCAGATCTAAACACTCTTCATATTAAAAACTGGGACATAACTGTTGGTTTTTTTTTTTTCCTTTGACATGGTTCCTTCTCTGGTCTGCCTCCAAGGACTTGCAGACTGCTCATTTCACAGGTAGCTGCCCTGCAGATCTGCTCCCCAGCATAAGACGTGAGCCCTGGCAGCTGGAGTACCTGAGATGTCTCCAGGAGTGGGCTGCTCCTAACTCCTCCAGGATGCCTGCATCGGGACTGTTTCTGTTCCCCAGGGAAACAACAGCTACGTCTCCCTGCAGGCCTACCCCCGGTGGACTGCAAAGACCTGAGCTAGAAGGTAATGAGAAGAATTCCAAGAAAAAATCGTTAGTAACTGTCTATATTCACTTTTGAGTATTACCCTTCCAAAAAAAGCAGATTCTTCCTTTTTTAGATACGACAAGTCGTGAAATCAATCACAGAGAAAACTGATGCTGTAGGTGTGCATTAATCTTGTAAACCATTCCCCCATGGAAGAGTACATTCTTCAATCCTATTGTTTGTAACAACTTGTAAATAGGTGCCCGCCTCAGCTGGGGTCTCGGAGCCTGATGGTGACGGCAGCTGCCCCACACCCCCCTCACATTACAGCTGGGGAATAAAATGAAATGCGTGTTATTAAATGAACGTTATTGCAGTATAAAATCCTACCAGGACAAGTTTTATGTATGTCTGTATGTAAAAATAGGTGTGTGTGAGATAGGGAGATAAGTGTTTATAAATTACACACACTATGAAAAATAGTTATGTATTATATTACAACTATATACATTCATTAGAAAGAAACTGATCAGCCCCTGTGAAGGAGACAATGCAGCAGCTGTTGGCGCTCCCTTGGCGTCCAGGAAGCGAGTGCTATTTTGTGTCTGAAGAGGAGGAACACCTCAGTATTCCCGTGCTTCTTGAAATTGCTTGTAGTAGTCTTCGTCTGAAGGGTTTTCTGTACACTTCTGCCCGTTGTTTGGAGGCCGCGCTTCGTTGTACCGGCTCCAGTCACCTTTGCATATAATCCAGGGCAGGATGTCCACTTTGTAGTGGAGTTCTGCCGAGAACTCGATGCTGATCAGGTTTGGCGTGCCCGCCCCCTTCCCTCTGGTGATCAGCTGCATGTTGTCGTCGTAGCAGCAGTGCTGGGCGGCGAGCGTGGTGCTCTCCAGCGAGAGCATGGAGCGTATGCAGTACCGCGCCGTGGGCTTGTAGATCTCCAGCTTCTCCTTCGGGCCGCTGGCGTCCTTCCAGCGGAAGTTCTTCCTCTTGGTGCGGTCGTAGATCTCGGCGGTGCTGTACGCCACCTCTCTGGGGTAGGAGCAGGGGCAGCTGGGAAGATCGTTGACCACCTTGTGCATGTATTTCTTCAAGAACTCGCTTTTGCAGCTCATCCATCTTTCACAGCTATCAGTATCTGTTTAAGGGCAGGAAATGGAAACTTAAGGTACATTGTGCAGCATCCCAGCTCTTACAAGCAGCAGTGATAACAAATGAGTGAAGTCAATGAGTAACCGTTCAGCACCAGTGCTCGGCCAAAGCTTGCCTCCCAGCTGCAGTGTGTTCCTGTCAGATAAGGAAACCACACGTGTGACAGGCTTTAGTGCCTCGGGCAGTGCTGGTCTGAGTGCACCGGTGCAGCGCCAGCCACTGAGAATCTTTGTCATTTCTTCTGCCTGGCAAATCCTAATGAAGCTGCAGATATCCCCACACAGCACGAGAGACACTGCCGTGGGTTTACAAGTGACAGAAGTGAGGTAGGGAGATCACTGTGGTTTGATGCCACTCTCCAGTTTAAAGCCCCAGTCCACCCACTCACCTTGTAAGAACAGCAGATTCAGACGTGCAAGGATTAAGTTTCTCATGATGCTAAAAATACCAAGATGGCAAGCCAGACCTGGATTACTTCTTCTGAAGTTCATTATTAAGCCCTAATTCTGGTTTATTTCTGCTAACAAATACTTTCTCCTTTTTGGTCTCCATCTTCCCCAAGGGGTAATTCAGGTAGTTATAGTTCAAACATGGAGACTGACATCTTAGCTGGCAAATGCAGCCCAAAGTGGTTCAGATTCTAAAAGGGCACATGTGACATAATATCAGCAAGTCTGTACATTAGGAGGATTTAATGGCATCAGGGCCATGACTTATAGCTGAGATTAAAGAGATTTATAGGGTAGTAGCATATTTAATACTGGCACTTCATTATTTTGCAGGAGTCTTAGGAGAATCCAGTTAAACGTCTCCTACCTAAATTGTTATTTAAGGTTTGGGTTTTCAAAAAAAAAAACTTGTGCATCTTGCTCCACGCTTACCTAACAGGACTCTGGAGTAAGGCAAAGACTGGGGCCTAAAACTCTTGCAGCAAACATTCATGCAAAATATTTACTTAGTTATCTGTGTCCTGTTTTTCTATCTCCTTAGGGTCCCATCCTGGCTGTCATTAACTATTGTGCTCTGCCACCAGAGGAGGGAGGCACTGGATTATGTTGTTTATCCAATTACCCCAACATCCAGTGTCTAAGAGTGGCCACCCCATGGTTTCTTTGGGAGGATGAAATCAGAACATTATAGAGGTTGGGCTGACTTTTAGATAGCTCAGTATCAAGTTATGCCCTATAAAATTGCTTTGGACATCCCACTGGAGCACACACAATTATAAAAGTGTGTGCATGCTTATAAAAGTCGTTGTCATATTTTTTAATGTGACAGCTGTACCAAAAATGCTTTTATATTATCTTCCATTTGAGGCTATTTCAATAAAATGCTAAATAGTGTTTGATTTTTTCCCCCATTAGTACAGAGCCTTACAGTTCTTTCTGAACTAGGACAAAGAATCACCATTTTATAATGACAAGAGAACAGAAATTAGCTAAGACTTAAGAAGAGGAAGATTCTATGACAGAAGCAAGGTAAAGCTCAGATCATAAACTTAGAGAAGATAATGAATGGCCATTATTACTGACTTTTTTTTAATGGTAAACTCAAAATCTTGGTCCCGCAGCCAGAGTCAAACCAGCAAAATCTGAGGAAGTCTCTTATCTGTCACAGAAGGACTGACTAGACTGCTTACCAACTTCAAACAGCTTGGTGGCGTTGAAGTCCTCGCTCCCTGCAAGCAAGCTCACCTCCGTGGCAGCGGTCCGGAAGGTATCTTCGATCCCTAGGACAAACACCATTAGTGGTGGTGGTGGTGTTTTCCCATTAAAACACAATGCAGACAACTGCCTCCCGGCTGTGTCCCCTCACTGCCCAGTTCCACAAGGTGCTTTTGTTTGGCAGGGAAGCAACGTGGAGTTGCTGGTGGAGGGAGCATTCACTTAAACATATAATGACCAAGGAATCTGAAGAGTTAGGAAGATAAAGCATTAGCTTAGCCCAAACGCCAGAATTTTTCAAATTTTTGCACTTAGATTATATTTAAGCAACAAACTGGTCAGTTATGGACCCAGTGCAGGGACAGCAGTGAGGGAAACAAGTTTGTTCCTCCTCTTCCTGATGCAAGGCTTGTCAGCATCTCCCAGTAATTCAGGCAGGAGCTCTGCACACGCTGCACCAACAGACATCAGCTTGACGTGACCAGCACCTTCTCCAGAGCATGTGTCACAAGTGACTGATGAGATAAAAACAAGCATCCTAGTGGAAGCTCTAAAGCCCTGGGTAAAAGGTGATGTCTAGAGGAGGCAGCCTTTGGGCCACTTCCTGAAACGGTGACGTGCCTGAAGACAGGCAAAGAGGTTCATAGCCACATGTGGGCAACCATTTTTCAGGAGGTATGAGGAAGAATGGTGCTATTGCAAGAAGACTGGTGCTTGTTGGTCTCTCCCAGTGCTGGAGAGTTGGAAGGTGTGAGTAAGTGAGAGATAAACGGCCTCGCCAAACAATCCCATCCCCCACCACCTACAGCAATCAAATGAAATAGCAGGGTCTTAAAATACTAGGATCCTCCAACAAGCTCCAGTTAAGTGTTTGCTATCAGCAGAGAGAAACATGGATTGCCAGAAAATGTACTAATTGATCTTCCTGAAGTAAACACCCTCTCACGGCTGCTTTAGTCTGGCCTGCCTACCTGCCTAACGTTTCCCTCCCCTTTCTGTACCTGTAGCCTTAAAACTAATGTCTCTTCAAAGAAACATTGAAACAGGTTTGTGGGTTCTTTTCCTCCCCATTGAAGTAAAAGACCTCCAAAGAGAACAGAAAGCTGTTTAGTATGTGATAATGATATGGTTAATAATGAAGTCTTGTTCATCATCCACCTTCTTGCCAGTGAACTTTCTCCTGATCTCCTGAACTGGGACATAACAGTGGCTTGCAAAGCTTCAAAACAGCCTCAGGGTGCTTTTCAGTATAATTATCATAGGGTTTTGCCTTAACTCCAGCAGTAGATGGAGAATAACAGACACCCGAGAACCCATTACAAGGCAGTATTTCACTGCTGGAATTATAAACAGCAGAAGCTGAGCTTTACCCTTGTAATTTTAAAAATGTCAGCACAGCCTCAAAGAGTGAATATATTTTGCTGGCTGATTGTTGGGGGTCTGTTATATGACATAATATATTCTTTCAATTTTGCCACTGCTTGATGCTAGCTGTAATAAGTACTGGAGAATATAACTGGGGGCTACATGCTTTCTTCTGGAATTAACCCCTTATTATCGAGGTTTTAGAATGTATGAGAGCATCCAGGCACATTTTTCTCCTGAACTGCCTCACAGCCATCACCTTGCAACAGATGCACACCTCTATCTGTGAGTGAGCAACTTCTCTCCAACCCTATCACTGAAGTTCCTCAGTTGTCTCTCCATCACTGCTGACATTTCACTTCCTATCAAAAAACCTGACCTTCAGTTGAAGAATTTCTGCTTTTCTGTGGGTTACTGTAACATTGCATCACAAACTTGCCTACATCTGAATACACAGCAGTATTAAAAGAACAGTCTGGGAGAGTCTTCCACAGCAGCTTTGAATTTTCATGGTGTAGGTTTGAGTGCTCAGCCCTGCCCTCACCGGAGTGAAAACTGCATGATGGTAAGGACACGTCAGCCACTGGTCAGTAACAGGGTCTGTTAGTGCCTGTGGATGGGTAGGAACTACAGTAAGGCTCCTTGGCCCTATATTCTGAGTGCATTCAAGCCAAAACTGCACATTCCTTCATCCTGTTGTGCACAGCTGCTGCAGGACCAAACTTGCTGTTTGATAATTCTCCAGTTATCACGCAACACATAATGAAACAGAGATGACACTTCCACCTTAACACTGACTTTCTAGAACAGGAAATGTTGAGCTTAATGCTCAACGAACCCCAAAGCTCTGGATTGAAAGGCAAAGCAGGTATTTAAAGTATTTTTCTCATACTACACATGGAGTCTTAAAGAAAATGTTACGTTAGGCACAAAACTTGCCAGCTGTGTGACTGGGGGGAGCTCTCTGTTCATGACACGGGTGTGCCCGGTCGCTGCACAGCAAACCATGAGCTCGCTGAGGTAACAGCAGAGCTGTTTCAAAATTCTAAAATTAATGCAGATTTGGTTCAGGAGAGCAGATTACACCCTTTGGAATACAAACCGTACTGTGCACAGAAACGACTGCCGTAGCCTAAAAAAAGCCTGTATTTGTTTCTCAGGTCCCAGGGGGTAGCAGGCTGCACCTAGCAGCGTGTTATCGCTAGCAAGGAAGCCGGCAGTTGTGCGCGG